ACATTATATTATTTAATTAAATTATCTTATAATCATGCAATTCAAGCAATATAAAAATAAAATCATAAATTACACTAATTATATCAATTTTAAAATTTTATAATTTAAATTAACCTAATTTTATATTAATATTAAATTAATCAAATTAAATTGGCTATGAACACCCATTGCTATTTCCCTGTTTTATCGTACAAGAGGAGTTTTTGTTAAATATAATTTGCCGCATGTCACCATTAGAGCCGCGTGTGCCCGAGAGAGTGCAAATGAGCGACTGCCCTTAGCATTGCTCTAGCTGTAGATTCCCACAATTTACGGTCCAAAGCTACTAAAGTAAATTGCAATTGCAAACGAAAATCCATAAAAAGAACCTGGACAAACAAATTGAAAATTCCACCAGCAGAATCAAATTCTACAATTAAATGTTACTAACTCGAGCTAAACTCTTGTTTGTCGGTTGCTACTTTAAGCCTATTGTTGTGAGGGGAATGAGAGGGAGGAGAAATTGATCCATCCAATCAAATCAAATAAAAATGTTGGTCTAGAATCTTACTAATATGATTGGAGGAAAAATTCCCCCTCCCTCTATTCCCCTTTATTTCTTTCAAACCAAACATGCTTTAAATGAATTAAATATAAAAAAGTAAGAGTAATCTATGCACTATGCTGATGATGTATTTATTTCCCCTTATGATTGCAGAAACAGAAACTAACTGGAAATAACACAGAATCACACAATAATGTGCGATTGGCCTTGATTTTATCTTTTCTTTCTTAAATGAATACAATTCATAGATAAATGCTATTTCTGGCACAAAAGATGCATTACGCTAAAGGAAATGCATTTCATCTTCAGAGCAATCTAGTTCACAGAACAGTGAAAGAACAGTGAAGAGATTCCAGGTAGCAAGTAGAGTTACATTTCAATTTATTTCAACAAGTATCAAATTGTCATTACCTCAAGGAATGGTGCACATAATGTAGCAAAAAGGAGAAATAGAGATCTAACTCACCAATAAAATCAAAATAGGTCGTGCTACTTTTAACCTAAACAGGAGATTTCAATTGCAAAAGTATACCAACTGAGATCATGGATTAAATCCCTGTATTGCCACACTGGCTATTCTTGGGTAGAGCCTTGTAGCACGGAGATGGTTATTTGCAAATTCCTGTGGAACTAATCAGACCAAAGGTCCAGTTAGGTTATATATAAAAAAACAAGCAATGGCAACTTCAAAGAGAAAGTAGGGAACAATTTAGATAGAGAACAAATGCCAGGATGGAAGTAGATGTAATTTTCATAGCACCAGAATAGAGTCCAATTAATAGTTCCAAGAGTGACAGCATACACCTAAAAAATGAACTAGGAATGGAGCACCGCCATCCTGGCATTTTTGGTTTGGTTACCTAATACCTAACTATAATAATTAGTAATGAAACAAGAATGATAGCTAAGTTAGAAAGGAGCTATCTAGCAAGATACTTGCTAAGAACAAAAGCTTGTTCAGGATGCAATGGGCCCTTTGCAGGCCAAACCAATATGATCAAGCATGAAAAAAAATTGAACAGACAACAAGACTTAAGAGAAATGGTTCAAGTGGACTAGCTTCAACTACTAATCCATCACATTACTGGATACAAGGATTTAACCTCAAAAACTAGCAATTTATTTTTAGCTTCTAAAACTGGCATTTAGTCTGACCAACAGGCCACAAAGAGAATGCTACTTCTGCTTCTCTATACAGTGCCAGCTTTGAATATCACCCATTGCATATGATAAAGTTTTTGCAAACATAGTCAATCCTCCATTTGAAATACAACCCAACCAGGCATCTAGCTTTCTATCTTTCATAGGATAAAATTAACCATCAATATGCACAATTTAGCATTGCCACAAGTGCAAAATCAACCTACTACAATGCAAACCAATTAACGGTACAAACTAGCTAACTTCTACAATATAATGAGGCAGGCAAACCTTTCCAGGATGAAGTTGCTCGGAAAAACCAAACTAACAGAGCACAGCACACAATCACACAGTCACACGAACGAGAGTAAAATATGTGCCTAATAGTTCTATCGATCTAAACTAGAATAATTACTATAATAAAATCTATAGTAGAAAACTTTCATTTTCTAATTATAACATGTCAACCAGCTAGCAAAATCACACAATGCCCAAAATTAGAGCAAAACCAAGTTCCTACGCTCAACATCAAAATCAAGGAAAATCATTCAACCTATCAAAACTGTTTAACAGTAGCACAGTCATAACTGATAAAACCCTAACCTCAAGATTATCCCTTCCTCATTCTTCTGCCAACTTGTCATTGACGCCTCCCACTGCAAAGATAAAACGCCACGGAAAAAACCAGAGCTGCCCCAATAGACCCTGCTGCCATGATTGGCAAATTCAACTCCTTCTCTGCATCACAGATACTCTCGGGTATGTTCCTAGCCTTCCCAACCTCCCTCTCCTTCAAGTCAACAATCACCTTTTCGGCCTCCTCAACCTCATTCTGCAGCTGCAAAATCTTCCCTTCCATGGCCCTGGCCTTGTTCTCAGATTCTCTCAATTCTCTCTCTATTGTCTGCTTCTCAGTCTCCCACTTCTGAAGTTCCACACCAGTTTCCTTCACCACAATTTCCAACTCTTCCACCTTCTTCTTGAAAACACTTATCTCTCTCTCCCTCTCATCAATTCTATCCCTAATCTCCTCCTCCGCCCTCAGTTTCTTGCTCTTCCCTTCCATCTCCCTTACTTCCAAAACCCCCATCTTCCTCTCCAACTCCCTCATTTTCTTCTCACTCTCAGCCTTAGCTTTCTTTAAGCTCTCAATTCCCCTCTCCAAATCCTCAATTTTCAATCCCTTTTCTCTCAATTCCTTCTTCAATTTCCCCACCTCCACGTTCGCTTCTTCCCCCTCGTTCATAGCGTTAATCAGATCATGCTGCAGTCTTGCGACCTCTGATTCCAGATCTACCGCCCTGGCAGCAATCGAATCCAAAAGCTTCTTGTCGTCATCAGATTGGTCCAGTTCTCTCTCCATATCTTCTAATCTTGCCTTCATCTGTTGTTCCTCGCCTTTAAGTAGATCGACCTCCAAAGTCAGTTCCTTGATCTTCTCCTTGATTTCAGTGTTCTCGCGGATCAGTTCCCCCTTCTCACTCTCCAGAGCTTCGACTTTCCGGGTCAGTTGGCTTACTTTGGATTCGTTTTCGCGTTGATCAGCATCAAAGAAGTCCTCTACCGACTGATCATCCACTTCGCCGTTGATTATTGTTGAGTCCGCCATTATGATTCTGCAAATAACAAGGAATCAAAACCAAAGACACAGAGCACCGAACAACTATAAAACTGACAGTCTCTGCCAGGGGAAAAGTCACCAGGAAAAGTATGAAATCTTGAATTTTATAACAAGAAAAAATTTCCTCCAACGTTTTCTCGGCTGCCAAACAGGTAAAGATGAACGGATTAAAAAGCCCTAGAGATTGTTCGCTTAGCGGCTAGTGGAGGATCAAAGAGAACTTTTTAATTTGAATATTATTTTCCAGTGGGTTAAAGCCAACTATAGTCCCTATACTTTCACTTTTCGTTCATTTTTGCCCTATACTTACAAATCGTTCGAAGTTCTCCCTCTACTTTAACTTTTCATAACATTTACCTCCACCTCTACCACCACACTAACACCGTTTCTAACTCCCATCTAACGTAAACGTCTTGGATAGTTAAATGTGATGGTTTTATTTTTTATTTTTTTAAATTGTGTTTGTGGGTCCTACAAAACAGGACGGGAAAATAAACTCAAAATTTATTGATTTAACAAGTATATATTAATTAGTAATTACTTTTAGTATCCTTTAATTTTTTATGCACGCAATCATTTAAACAGTGTCTCAATTTTTCTATTTTTATTTGTTTCTTTTCTTAACATCTATTACGATGATTTTATTATCCCATCTTATTAGTATTAATTTTACATTAAATTATTATTTCTAACTTTTCTTTTATTTTGACTTGTCTAATGAAAGATAACTATTTTTTATTCCTTAACCCACCTTACTCACACATCATAGGATTGAAACTCATAATTTCTTATTTTCATTAAAATGAAATCACTACTAAACTATTTAGATCATTGATTTTTTTTAAAACTTTTTTTAATCTATTAATATAATTGAAAGTTAATATGAATGGTGATTTCAAAATTTTAGGCCATATTTGATTAAGTTATTAAGAATTTTTTTTTTTGATGGATAGTTACTAAGAGATAATTAATACTTATTTTTTTTAATCAGATGAATAAGGGCATTTAAATTATAAATAATAATAAAATTATTATATATAGAATATCATATATTAATTATTATTAACAGCTAAATTATAGTTTTATTTGATCAT